ACCTGCAAGAGAGACCAGAACCAGAGGGCATAAATATAAGATAGTCACTACTGAAGTCATTAAGGAATTCAGGGCAAACTTCTTTCTTTTCCCCCAAGAGTGTGGTTAGAATGCACTGCAGGCTGCTACACCTTTTGCTACAAGGTGTAATTAAAGTAATGAGTATGAATGCATTTCATGCAGAATTTAGCAAAACAGGAGGGAGAAAGGAAGAAATGTTTATGTGAATGAGGTTAAATGAAGAGGCATAGAATGAGGCTTATATGGAGCATAAAAACTGTGAGGCCAAATGGCTAAATACTATGAGTATCCGCACTTTAGAACTCACAATCATGGTCAAATGTGGGGAACAGTTCCAAGGCTCTGACTTTTTCCAAGTTGGCCTATTGATGACCAGAAAACAAGCTTGCCTCCCAATTAGGGATGGCAACTGGGTTCTCAAAACTGGAGGGACAATAGGAGGCACTTCAGCACTGAAGAATCAGCCTTCTTAGGTAAGCAAGGGAAAAGGCTGGCCTAAAATGGAAATGCCCACTTTCTAACTATTATTTACTTAGTGAAAAGGCCTTAGCACCCCACCAACATTGTGGCGAAGGAACTCATTCAATGGACAACCTGTGGCAACAACTGGCTATAGTACTTCCCTCTGAAAAACCACCTGCAGACAGCTGTGCTGTTTCTTGATGCCTCTGGTTTCTCCATTCTCACTACATAACTGAAGGGCCTCATCCCTGGGATTATGCTAACATACATCTTTGCTTCTGTCTCCAAGGTATTGACATTCACTCCTAAATGGTAGTTCCCAGAATTGACCTGTCTTTCCACAACCGCTATCCCTTTTACCAGGAGTGGGCAACGTGATTTGGGCAGCAGGGAGAGGTACTTTATAATGAGGTAGGAAGACAAAGGGTGGGGGTGGAGAACTTGCCTTCTTCCTGACTCCCCCAATTACGTTCTGAACAGGAAAAATGGCAGAGGTGTGAATTTAATGACCTCCACCCCCTCGTACTGGTGTTCACTTATTAAAGGATGGAGGGGTCGACCATGTCATGTGGCAACTATCCAATGTACCATGTTGATATCCGTGCGATTGCCTGTTCCTGCTTCTGCCCCATATCCTTTGATCCCTTTAGCCCCACATGCTATATCCAGTTCCCCTTCTTGAAATCACATAATGTTTTGGGATCGACTGCTTTTTTTGTTAGTGAATTCCACAGGCTCACCATTCTCTGGTGAAGAAATTTCTCCTCATCTCAGTCCTAAATGGTTTTCCCTGTATCCTTATGTGACCACTAGTTCTAGACTCCCCTGTCATCAGGAACATCCTTCCTGCATCTATTTTGTCTAGTTCGATTGGAATTTTATAAATTTCTATAAGAACCCCTTTATTTATCTTAACTCCAGTGAATATAATCTGAACCAATTCAAATTGAATTGCATTAAAAGATAGCAGGGGCATGTCAGAAATTATTGCAGAGCTGAAAGACTTTTAGTATGGCTAAAGCCAGAAGCATTCTTGTGGAGGATTCCTGCTGTATACTGTTAGCCTTCAAGTTTCTTGGCCTTATTTATTAACTTTCAGATGTGTTTTTATAGCACCTCCATTTTATCTGGCGCCCACCATCCTTTAATTGGATAGCAAATGCAATTTCGTCGCAGGTAGACAGGGTGGTTAAGATGATGTTTAGCACACTTGCCTCCATTGCTCAGACCATTGAGTATGGAAGTTGGGATGTCATGTTGAGGTTGTACAGGACATTGGTGAGGCCACATTTGGAGTAATTTGCACATTTCTGGTCACGCTGCTCTCGGAAGGATATTATTAAATTGGAGAGGGTGCAGAAAAAATGTACCAGGATGTTGTGGGGACAGGAGAATTTGAGTAATAAGGACAGGCTGGATAGTCTGGGACTTTATTCTGTGGAGTGCAGGAGGTTGAGGGGTGATCTTGTAGAAGTTTATAAAATTATGAGGGGCAGAGATAAGATGAATAGCAAAGGTCTTTTCCCGAGGGGGATGTGGAGTTTCAAATCTAGGGAACTTGTTTTTAAGGTGAGAGGGAAAAGGTTTTAAAGGGACCTGAGGGGCAACTTTTTTTCACACAGAAGGTGGTTCATATGTGGAATGAACTGCCGCAGGAATTGGTAGCTACAGACACAGTTACAAGATTTAAAAGACATTTGGATAGATACATGAATAGGAAAGGTTTAGAGGGATACGGGCCAAATGCAGGCAAATGGGACTAGTTTAGTTTGGGAAACTTGGTTGGCACGGAGGAGTTGGACCGAAGGGTCTATTTCCATGCTGTATGACTCTATGATTGCATTACTCTGGTAGCCGCCCAAAAGATCACGCCGGAGGGCATACTTCCAATATGAGTGGGGGATCAGCATCAAAAACGTGGAAAATTATTAAAGTGAAAAACTTTTTGGTCTTAAAGGAAAAGGGTCTTTGTATTTTAACAATTTAGTTTGTCCATTATGAAAATTTATGTATAAAATTGTATCTGCAGTTTAACAAATAACGCTTGAGGCAAAATCCTACTCAACAATTATTTCTGTTATACTTTAATTAAAGCAGCTTTTAACTGTGCAATGATTGATGCTGTCACTTCACATCTGAACGCATGCAAATCCTTACTAAACAGATATGTAAGATTTAGCAAGACGACAAGGTGCAGGGCTGGTTGAACACAGCAGGCCAAGCAGCATCGTAGGAGCAGTTTATGCTGCTTGGCCTGCTGTGTTCATCCAGCCCTGCACCTTGTTGTCTCGGATTCTCCAGCATCTGCAGTTCCTACTATCTCTGATGTAAGATTTAGCCTTGTGTTAGCTGCCATTGTCTGTAGAACTTAGCAAGTGAATAATTAGTAAGTCTCCAGCCATCCAGCTTTGAAGGATGAGAGAAAATAGTAGCATTATGTTTGTACTTTTATATAAAATTTTGCTGATGATCTCAAGTTCATTCTCTTTCTAGGGAAGACCTAAAATGTAGAAATAAAAGGCAAAACTTCTTTTCTTAATTGAACTGCTCTTAACGTGACATGAGAGAGAATATATTTGCATTTTTAAAATCTGTGTCCTTTGTTTTTACAATCTGCTCTTGGTTGTATTGTCACACTTCAGTTTATCCAACACACTGACTCCAGCTGGTAAAACAAGGCAGTCTAGGTATAGCATTCTGATTGGCTCTTATTAAAACCATGATGGCTTTGTTATTTGCAATCTTTAGTCTTAATATGGATCAAACTTTCGGTACAGAGATGTTCCATTTAATAGAGTAGTAATAGCTATATCTGGCCTTTATGGTTAAGATTTAGAATTAGTCTTTCCAAATTGAAGAATGATAATTACAAAACAACTCTTAAGTTTTGCATTTTGACATAAATTCTCAAACATTAACAATGGAGCAGTAATGTTACATATAAGTACATTTTACTTTTATGAAAATTAGGTATCTTCTTGGTGACGGCCACCTACTCTTTAGACTGAATTACCTTTTGGCAGTAGATTTCACTTTATTATTTAATATTTTCTTAATACTTCTAATTTCTAAATATATTTCTGGAAGTCACAACAGTGGACGATGTTTTGTCCTGTTGTCTCTGAATTTGATAGGTCTGAATCAAGACTTCTGCTAACATTGAAGGTCACTGACAAGTAAGCTTTAGGTCGATTATCCAACATGGTCTTAGTATTTTTTCCATTCTAAAATGTAACTTTGAAGTTCTGCAAAACACACAGCACTGAGTAAATTCTATAGCCTTGAGCTATGGGGAACATCTGGATTGTGAACGTAGTACTGGAAGTTTATAAGTGAAGCTGCAGTTTCTATTTGACCAAGTGGCTCAACTAGCTTGGCTCCTCTGGTGTAGTTCTTCATTGGTAATTAGTAGTCGGAAATGTTATTAGCTGAAAGACAGTTTTCTGCAGGACATAAGCAGCAAAAGTTTTGAGTGACCTGTTCCACGCTCCACATTTCCCAATCTTACATGTTCCTTTCCGAATCTTGCTCAGTGGCACCACATTAAGGAATTAGAAACCTTTTTTCACAACTAGCATAGTAACAATCATGTTTTAAACATCCATCTTCATAATCACTCATTATTGGTTCCTTTTATTAATTAAACCTATTTGTTAAATTATTTGTCATTATTGACAAAGGTAATTATTAATGCCCTTGGTCATACTAATTTAACTTCATCAAGGAAATGGTTGTAATGTGAATACAGCATTTTGATTTTTGGTGTTGTCATTGTTTCCATAGTACACTATATGCACTCATTTAAATAATTGTTGTTTGCCAAATAGAAGCTAAACACATTGCTGAATCCATGAACTGCTGCATGATAATTAGAATCGAGGCCACAATTAAAATTGTGCATTTGCATTGGACTTAACACACAATTGTTTATAGAATTCCCAAAGCTGTCATCTATGGTGAGCTGCTGTCTGGCTTTCTCAGTGGAGGTAGGTAAATGAAATGCAAGCGAATCAGTAAAGACCACTTTGAAATCTTGAAATATTAGCCTCAACACCTGGATAACCCATAGTCACTGATTAAACAGCATGACTGCCACTGCAGTCTAAAAGAACTTGAGTTCACTGTCAATTACTCGGCTAGCAAAGCAAACCATCTATCTACCCTATCTGGCTTCTTACGTGATATTTGCAAACATATTTTGATGTCCAGCGTCAGTTTATTCTCCCATCAGTGCACCCACCCCAATTAAGTCTCATCCATTGATTTAACAGGAAACTTCATTCAACACATCACAAAGATAAAGAATAAAGAAGCGTTCTGCTTCCAAGCAATTGCTAGAAACTGATAATTTAGCCTCATTAGGGACTCTTATTAACTGATATTCTGTAATCTTTGATATCAAGTTTAGTCACAAGTACTAGCCAATTTTATCCTCTCAATTTAAAAGATCCGGTTAGTTTGCAGCCGATAACAATGGTTCAATTTTCTAATTTATTTGCTTTGTTATTTTTCTGCAGACCGTGCCCAATGAGCTCTGCCTCATCTGTAATCCATCATCAAGATGAAGAGGAAGAATCACAAAAAACCATACCAAACACTGTTGAAGCGGATGATCTCTTTGACAATATTTAAAATGTCTAAGCATGGCATACACAGAGAACAGCAAATAAATCAAGTGAATAGTACATCTGTGATGTCATCATGCTATGAAATACAATTAATTGTTTAAGAAGCTTTATTGTAAAAAACACATTATATGAAATCTACACCTGTAATTTCCACTACATAGTAGTTACACCTTTACCACTTGGGTTCTTTGAAGGTTTAGTTTCTTATTAAATGTATAGAATGAACTTATTTTCCTACAAATATGATCTCTTTCAAATCACATGACACAAACCTTCCTCATTTGTTGTGATCTATATACAAATGGGGAGCAAAAGTTTGAAAATCCATGCATCTTGAACTTTACTACCATGCCCCATATGATTTTTTTTAAACTGCATCTTTCAGAATATTCTTCTCATATTGTCTAATGGGATTAGTTGCAGTACTACTAAATAAAAATGAAAGTAAGTTTAATATGAATAAGAGACAAAGCGGCTGAATTTGACATTGCATGGAAAGAAGCACATTTGACAAGAACTGCAAAGTAGGTTTAACTCCAGAATAATATAGATTTGAAGGATGTTGCTACAGGTTGGCCATTCCTCTCAAAGTAACATGCTTAGAAAAAGAATGAATGTTCAAGTATTGAATTCAAGCTTTGGCTTCGTAAGGATGTTGACTAAGGTTAATCTTAATGTCTCATTATTACTGTCTTCAATGCCATCTTTAGCAAGTTTAATTTATGTTTACCTCTTGGTAAATGTATCTGGCAGAGTTCCAGAGGACATAATGTAAAAGCAACACTCAATATCTCAGTGTTGACAGTTAGAGGATTTGTGATGTCTAACAGGTAACTGTAATTCCTAACATCACTGTCAGTAGCTGGCAGAAATCAATTAGTTCTGTAAGCATAGAAAATAGTGTTGCTAATGTCAGCAAAAATACACTGGCTTATAAAATGTGTTTTTCTCTGCCAAGTTAGCTGGTAAAATAAACCATTTAAAATAAGTAACAAGATCTCCATTAAAGTAATAACAAAGGTAATTTCTAGGCTGTGGATCTCATTGTTATATCAAGAGTTTCCCTTGTTGAATCCCCTCTCTTGGAACATATCTTAGCAACATATTTTGGTATAATATGTCCATAAAGACAGTAATTTCAAACACAGTGTGCTAAAAACACCATCTATGAGGTGTACCAGATTATGTTTATTAATAATAGTTATTGGTTAATGCACTCTTGCAAATCCAAATTTTATCTCCGCCTTTGCTAACGGAGCATCAGCTGACATGTAGTGTGGGCTTATCTAAGCAGTTTAACTGTAATGCCAATCTAACTGATATGTAATGTAGATGCATCCTCTGCTCAAAGTCATGGAGGCAAATGTTTGAACAAGAAGACATTGTTAGATTGACACCTTGCATTGTATGAGAGGAGAGCACAACAAAGAGACTCAAGTAATAGACTAAAATGATCACATTATTTCAAAAAAAAGCTTTGTCTTCCCCATTTTTGAGATATAAATAACCACAGATTATTATCATTTTACTTTGCTATGAGCTAAAAGAGCACTATTCGTTATTGGGTTTAAAGAGCCCTACATGCTCTTAGTAACTACAATGTAATGCTCAACTCTAAAACAAGAGTAGTTACTTACAGTCATTGCACACCTTATCCTCATAATTTTAGCCCTGACTGAACTTTCATCTCCAAAGCTACTTCTCAACCAAATTGACTAATTAAGGGAATTAACAGATACAGCAGTTTGAGGATAGCTTGAAACCTGTTTAGGAAACAATTGACTGACATCTCTCTCACTGTTTTACATCTCTTTTTATTGTTGTATGAAGTACTCACCGAATTTGAATAGTGATGAGTACTATTCCTTGTGAAGAATAGTTTAAACTCCATTTACAAGAAGATAATTCATTTTGGGTAGTGAACTTTGCCAAAATAAACTTGCTGGAGTAGTATTTTTGATTCAGTTGTGTCTTTATTGCAACAAATGGTTGTGAGTAAAATGCTGTTACTTAGCTGGGAATTCATTACCTCACATACCTGTGGGCTGTAGTCTTACACTTCATGATATGGTCGAACTTCTTAATTTACAACCTATGACTAAAGATTATTTCATTGCTAATCATTCATTAATTTCAACAAGATATTCTTTTGTTCCATCTTTTATCTGCAATACTATTGTTTTGCTTGTGTTTAATGCTCCTCCTCTATCATAGAGCGTGCATTACCATCAGTTTTTTTTTGTACTTTACCATCGATAAAATGCTTGATGTTTACTTTTTTTTAAAGCCCTGGATTCTGTATTTAATCCACAAACAGAGGATTAAAGATATGCGGAGCAGGTAACACTCACTCAGAGCACTTAAGGTGCTTCTTTGATATTGCTGCACTACTGATCTGATGATGGGAAATGATGAAAGCTTCATTTATTTATTCATCTATCCAGCTGGAAACCACTATAGAAGGGTTAGCAAAATCACATAGTGGGGGTAACTTTGAGGAGAGAAATTCATGCAAATAGTTTTCCTAGGTGAATCATGGTATTACAATTTATTTTGTGTCAATATTCAACAATTTTAAAAAAGTGTTGATTAAATGTTGGTTTTATTAAAATTGATTTCAAGTATGGAACAAAAACAAAGCTGCTGGAAAAGCTCAGCAGGCTTGGCAGCATCTGTAAAGGAGAAAAGAGTTAACATTTTGGGTCCGGTGACCCTCAGAACGTTTATCCTTCACAGATGCTGCCAGACCTGCTGAGCTTTTCCAGCAACTTTGTTTTTGTTCCTGATTTACAGCATCGCAGTTCTTTTGGTTTTGATTTCAAGTATGGTTGTTAAACGGTTTGTTCAATAATTTTATTGCCACACTAATTCGTCAGTAGTAAATTTCTGTCTCCCTCATTTGTCTTTATGGTATTGGCTTCTTCCTGGAGTATGTCATCTGGGAACCCTCTGAAACTTGAGTCAAAAACATTTCAGTGCTGAGTGTGGGATGACTGTTAAACCACAGGAGCATCATTACAGGTGATGCAATATGCAACACATACTGCATTTTGCAATACATGCACGAGAACACCTCAGTCCCTCTGTATCTGAGCTCAGTAATCTCTCAACATTTACATTCTTCTTTTAATAATAAAATACTTTGCTAATCTTTCTGCCAAAATGGACAATTTCACATTTTCCCACATCATACTCCATTTGTTACATCTTTGCTTGCTCACTTAACCTATCAATATCTTTTTGTTACCACCTTGTATCCTACTCACAACTTAATCTATCAACTTATCTTTGTGGAGTCAGCAAATTTGGCAACCATGCCTTCCGTCCCCTAAACCAAGTCATTTATATCAATGAAACATAGTGGAGGTCCCAACAGAGGTTCCTGCGGTACACCACTTGTTACAAGCTGCCAATCAGAAAAAGGTCCTTTTACATATACCCATAGAGTCATAGAGATATACAACCCAGAAAAATACCCTTCGGTCCAACTCACCCATGCCAACCAGGTATTGTATATAAATCTAGTCGCATTTGGCCCATATCCCTCTAAACCCTTCCTATTCATATACTCTTTTAAATGTTGTAATTGTACCAGCCTCCACCACTTCCTCTGGCAGCTCATTCCATACACACGCCACCGTCTGCATGAAAACTTGCCCCTTAGATCCCTTTAAAATCTTTCCACTCTCACCTTTAACTTATGCCCTCAAGTTTTGGACTCCCCCATCCCGGGGAAAAGGCCTTGATAATCATCCTATCCATGCCCCTCATGATTTTATAAACTTCTAAAAGGTCACCATTCAGCCTCCAACGTTCCTGGGAAAATAGTCCCAGTCTATTCAGCCTCTCCCTATAAATCAAACCTTCCAACCCTGGCAACATCCTTGTAAATCTTTTCTGGACCCTTTCAAATTTCACAACAACATTCCGATAGGAGGGATACCAGAACTGCACACAGTATTCCAATAGTGGCCTAACCAATGTCCTGTACAGCCACAACATGACCTTCCAACTCCTATACTCAATGGATTGACCAATGGAGGCACGCATACCAAATGCCTTCTTCACTCTCCTATCTACATGTGACTCCACTTTCAAGGAACTATGAACCTGTACTCCAAGGTCTCTTTGTTCAGCAACACTCCCCAGGACCTTACCATGAAGTGTATTAGTTCTGCCCTGATTTACCTTTCTAAAATGCAGCACCTCAAATTTATCTAAATTAAACTCCATCTGCCACTCCTCAGCCCATTGGCCCATCTGATCAAGATCCCATTGTACTCTGAGGTAATCTTTGCTGTCTACTACACTGCCAATTTTGGTGTCATCTGCAAACTTACTAACTATACCTCCTATGTTCACATCCAAATCATTTATGTAGATGACAAAAAGCAGTGGACGCAGTACCCATCCTTGTAGCATATCGCTGGTCACCCACCTTGAGTCTGAAAAGCAATCCTCCACCACAACACTGTGTGTTCTACCTTGAGCCAGTTCTGTATCCAAATAGCTAGCTCTCCCTCTATTCCATGTGACCTAACCTTGCTAACCATTTTACCATGAGGAACCTTTTTGAATGCCCCATTGCTTCCTATTAACCAGCTAATCTTTTATCCGTGACAACATACCTCCCCTACCCATAAGATCACATTTTTTGCAACAGCATTTGATATGGCACATAATCAAATGCCCCATGGAAATTTAAATACAATACATGCACTGGTTCCCCTTTACCCCCTCACGTTACCTCCTCAAAGAACTCCAAAGAATTTGTCAAACATGTTTCTCTTTCACAAAACCATGTTGACTTTGACTAATTGCAATGAATTTATCCAAGGAATCGGTTAGAACCTTTCTTTTAAATCATAGCTTCTAACATGTTCCCTATGGCAGATATAAATCTAACTGACTTTCAGTTTTCTGCTTTCTGTCTTCCTCCCATTTTGAATGAAGTAGTTCCATTCTCTATGTGCCAAGCTTATGACCGTCACTGAACTATAGAAATTTTGGGAATTTAAAACTGTCTCATAGCCAGTTCATTTAAGGCCGTAGGATGAAGACCTTAGGACTCAATTAGTTGCCAACCTGCAACGCTACCAATTTATTCAGTTCCACTTTGGTGATTGTTATTTTTCTGAGTTCTTCCCTCCTTTCCATTCCCTGATTTATCACTGCTTCTTGGATCCTGTATATTCTCTGTATTTAAGACAGATGCAAAATACTGTTCAATTCACTTGCCATTCTTCTTTTCATTCACTCATGGGCTTCGCTGCCTAACCAGCATTTATTCCCCATCCCTAGTCACCCTTGAGAAGGTGGTAATGAGCTGCCTTCTTGAACTGCTGCAGTCCATGTGCTGTAGGTTGACCCACTATTCCCTTAGGGAGGGAATTTCAGCATATTGACCCAGGGACGATGATAGTCTGGGTAGTGAGAGGCTTGGAGGGGAACTTGCAGGTGGTGGTGTTCCCATGTATCTGTTGCCCTCATCCTTCTAGATGGAAGTTATCGTCAGTTTGGAAGGTGCTGTCTAAGAATCTTTGGTGAATTTCTGCTGTGTACCTTGTAGACAGTACACAGTGATGCCACTGAGCAGGTGGAGGGAGTGGATGCTTGTGGATGTGATGGCAATCAAGCTGCTGCTTTGTTCTGGATGGTGTCAAGGTGTTGTTGATACCCAGACAAGAGGGGAGCATTCCATCATATTCCTGACTTGTGCTTTGTAAATGATGGACAGGCTTTGGGGAGTCAGGAGGTGAGTACTGCAGAATACTGCAGTATTCTTAGCTTCTGACCTGCTCTTGCAGCCATTGTATTTATATGACAAATCCACTTGAGTTTCTGATTAATGGTAACCCCTGCCATTAAGTGTCAAGGGGCAATATGTAGATCTCTTGTTGGAGATAGTCATTGCCTGGTATTTGTGTGGCACGAATGTTACTTGCCAGTTTTCAGCACAAACCTGGATGTTGTCTGGCTCTTGCTACATTTGGATACACACTGCTTCAGTATCTAAGGAATTGCAAATGGTGCTGAATATTGGTGCATTAATCAGCAACTATCCTCACGTCTGACCTTACGAAAGAAGGATTTTCATTGATGAAGCAGCAGAAGATGTTTCAACCTAGGACACTACACTGAAGAGCTCCTGCAGCAATACCTTGTGACTGAGATGCTCAATCTTTATGCTAGGTATGTCTCCAATCAGCATAAAGTTTTGCCCTTGATTCCCATTAACTCCAACTTTATTTGGGCTCCTTGATGGCAGACTATCAAATGTAACCTTGATATCAGAGGCAGTTACACTTGCTTTCCCTCTTCAGATCTGCTGTTCTGTCTGTGTTTGACCCACGGCTATAATAATATCAGGAGCTGAATGGCTTTAGAAGAACCTAAATTGTGCATCAGTGAGCAGGTTATTATTGGGTAAGTACCAATTGATATCACTGTCAACAACGTTCCATCATGTGGCTGATGACTAAGAATAGACACATGGGACAGTTATGATCCTTTTCATGCACAGGACATATGTGGGAAATTTTCCACATTGCCAGGTAGATGCCAATGTTCCAGCTGTACTTGAACAGCTTGGCTAAGCATGAGATAGTTCTGGAGTTCAAATCTTCAGGGCTATTGCTGGAGTGTTGTCAGGGCTCATTGCTTTTACAGTAGCATGTGCCATTAGCCATATTTTAAAATCAAACAAAATGAATATATTTGGCTGAAGATTCACATCTGTGATGCTGGAGTCAGGGCCAAATGACCTACTCCTCCAATTTTCAATGACCTCAGGAGGAGGCCAAGATGAATCATCCACTCATCACTTCTGAAGCTGCTTCCAAATGCTTCAGCCTTGTCTTTGGAATGATGCGTTGGGGTCTCCCCACCATCATTGAGCCGCCTCCTCCAGTAAATTATTTAACAATCCATAACCATTCACAATCTGATGTGGC